TGAGGAAGGGTAGGGAAAGAAAAAGAAGCATTGACTTCCGACTCTTTATCGGTTACAGTAGAATAAGACATTAACAACAAATCACAACTTTTTGTTTTACCATAATAGTATGAACCAGTCATTTCTACAAAAGTCTATCAGTCTAAACTGTAAAACCCAAAATCAAAGTTTCATTCTTTTCCACATCAAGCACGAACTTCAGAAGCAGTTTCCATGTAGAAACAAAAATACTTATGTTCTTTTCTTTGAGCAGAGTAGTCAATTTTGCCATTTCAGCCAATTCCATTCTCTTCTGCAACCATTTTTCTATAGTAGGAATTGAAGTGTCCTTCCATTTTTGCACGTACAATCATCTTGCTGCTGTCAACATAAGTTATACTAACAAAGTTCCAAACTTTTTCTCCAATTCATTAGATCTAAGAGGAAAAGTTCTGGTTTCATATTTATCTCCATTTTCAGGATTTCCTGTATTAAGATATGAATCATAATCCATTTTGTTTTTGCTTTTTTTGTCCGCCATAGATGGTAAAAGGTCCCTTCTTTGCTTTCACACTTCCAACATACATTTGACATACCGTGTTTCCCCAAAAATAAGACCGGGTCTTATATTAATTTTTGCTCCAAAAGACGCATTAGGGCTTATTTTCTGGTTAGGTCTTATTTTGGGGGAAATATGGTACTAAATGCATACATCTGGCTAACAATCTTAACTGGGGCTTATTTTGGGAGTAGGCCTTATATTACAAGCATCCTGAAAAATCATGCTAGGACTTATTTTCCAGTTGGGTCTTATTTTCTGGGAAAGAGGGTACCTTTATACATCTTACATAACTTATCTGAGTAACTTATCTGAACAAAGAACATTCTATTAATAAGTATTAGTATATTATTTAATTGATATTGTTGCACTAAAATAAACAAAGGATGGAGTTAAATGTGTAAATAACTCCTGATAATATAAGATCCTGATAATTTTGACTTTATCAGCCTGTTGATAATATCATGACAGGTAGAGGTATCAATTGGTCTTCATCCTGTTGATAATATCAAAAAGATAAAGTTATCAATTGCTCTTCATCCTAGAAGCAAAGTATATGCTACTCTGCTTTAGAGGCACCAAGTCTCTGAATAAAATTTGCCAAAGAAAAGGAAGGAGAAGATCCCAGTGTTTTCGGGGCCTGCCAGAAAACAGCATGGGAAAACGGTATACTGGGCTAGATGAGTTTTTGATCTGATCCAGCAAATCTATTTTTAACAATTTCACAAACAGCTTCAGAAGACAGATGCTATAGTTGCTTCTCCTATAACCTTGTCATTATTTTCTTGGGCCCATAGAAAACTGAGGAGGAAAACGGTAAGACTTTTGCCAAAATGATAAAAGTTGCAAGTAAACACTACAGAGTAAAGGTTAAATAAATAAATCTCTTCGGTGGAGTTTGAGAACATTATTTTAAGATTTTGGTCACCACTTCTATTTACAGCTAACCCAGGTTGCTATAGGGGAGGAAAATGATATTAATTTTGTAAAAAGTAGAAGATGCAGATGACCTTGACAGAAATAGGCAAGAACCGTTACCAAAGCAGTGAGGGGGGAAAACAAATTGTGTCCAAAACAAGCAGAAAATGCATGGAAACGGCTGAGACAGAAATCTCCCTCATGAGCCTAAGAAGGGGGAGACATAAAGCAAATTAGACTTATAAGATTCTGTTACTATAGCCAATAATAAAAACCCAGTCTCAATAAAAGTAGTTTTGGCCTTCCTGTGGAGTTGATTTCTTGGTTTTTCCTACCTAGTGGAGCCGACATTTTGCTGGATATGACAATAAAACAATAGCTTAGGCTGCCCTCTTGGCTCTGGATTTACTAGGAATTGAGCATCATTAACCCAATGCCTCAATAGAGAATTGTGCTATTTGCACATTACTTAGAAATAATCTTCATGGATTTTATCGTTTGTTAGATTTATATTCCACCTTTCATTCAAGAATTCATTGTAGTTCATATATTATTTTCTCCTCTTATTCCCCCCCCTCCCCATAACCTGTGAGGATACTTGGGCTGAGAGAGAGTGAACTTGTGGAACAATGCAATTCCACAACTCAACCACTACACAACATTAGCTGATGATAGGAGTCAATTTTCCAATAAGTGATAGCGTTGGGTTGCTAAATGAGATGGGGTCTTAGAGGGATGTAATATATATCTTTTGCTTGTGCTTACCCCGCCTCTTTAAAATTTATAGTTGAAGTATATTTTTAGCTTTCTTCAGCACTTAGCAAGGATATTATGAAGACTTCACAGTAGCTTGATAATTTCTCCACTTCCCTACAGTATATTTAATGAGGACTCATCTTTATATGATTTATCTGGGGATAAATCAGGGTACTATTTTAATGTTGTCTTTGTACCTTTATGCTCTGATGGAAAAGCATCATTTTTATTGCTCTTAATTGCAGAAAATGTCATATATTTAACACATGAAAGAAGATGTCAAGAATGTGGCAAGAGAGAATTCATTGATATAGTAGAAAGCTCAATACTGTATAGATGGTATTTATTTGTATGTATGTTTATTAAAAGATCTCAAATGCAAATCCAACAAAAATATGCAACATTGCTAAAATTCATCTTATTAACAGTAGGATTGGAAAATGTTAGCCAGTAAAATGCCAATTTTAAAGAAGGGTTTGTAAGGTGTAGAAACTGAAGGTTTGTCTTACATAAATGATGAGAAATATTTGGCAGGTGAAATATGATGGTTTGCATCCACAAATGGAACCAAATTCATTTAGCATTTTATTTGCCTATGAGAAAGGGGAAAAACCACTCCCACACTCATAATGTCTACCCTAGAAGGTCCTAAAAATTGTGAAAGAAAGAATTGTCCAAGTAGAAGTCTATCCCTGAACAGTGGATTTCATCTTGACTTGATAAATACTTAGGAGAATAACTGTACTTTCTGCAGCAGGATATTTTTTCCTACCAAGCACTCTTTATAAAGTTCTTTCGAGAAAATAGTGCAGGTAATCCTCAACCTACGACCGCAATTAAGCCCAAAAATTCTGTTTATCAAGTAAGCCAATTTTGCCCAATTTTACAAGTTTTCTTGCCACAGTTGTTAAGTGAATCATGCAGTTGTTAAGTTAGCAACAAGGTGGTTAAAAAGAGCACAAAAGGGGATCACATGACCCTAGGACACTGCAACTGTCATAAATACATGCCAGTTGCCAAGTGCCCAAATTTTAATAATGTGTCTATGGGGATGCTGCCACAGTTATAAGTGTTACCAATAAAGGAGAATATGTGTTGCTCAGGGTTGAAATGAGGAGTCCTTGGTGCTCTCTGAGCTTGCTTGTTTTCTTGCAGATGTTTCATTACCCTAACTAGGTAACATCATCAGTTATAAGTGTGAAATAAAAATTTTCAGTGCCATTGTAACTCTGAACAGTCAGTAAATGAATCATTGCAAGTTGAAGACAATCTGTAATGAAGAAAGTCTTTAGAAGTAAGCATGAACTAAGGCACATTAGGACAAAAACCATTAGCCTGCATTGATGTCTTTAAACCAGCAGTGACTATTACGAGTAGGAAAATAATCTTGGATTGTGGTAGATATCTCAGGATAATGCTCCTGAGATAGTGACCTGGTGTTGGGGTTCACCAGCAGCCTGCGGAGCTGGCAGCAGAGTCGGACAGTGAGGAGGCTGGGGAGGACAATGGGCCAGTCCTGAGTCTGGGGAAGACCCGGATGAGGGCTCTGCATCGGAGGCAGGGATGGGGCCAGGGCCATCTGGGAGTGATGCACGGATTCCGGAGCCTCCAGAGTCAGACAGCAGAGAGGCAGAGGAACAGGAGGAGCCTGTTCCTAGTTCACGCATGCACAGAGCTGCCAGAAGGCAAGAGCAGCTAAAGCAAAAGGGACGACTCGGGAGTAAGGCCAGGAGATGATTGGCCCCTCCCATAAGGCTTAAAAGAGCAGCAAAGGCTCTTGGGCTCTTTGTAGGAAAGCAACATTGCTAAATCTGTTTCCAGTCGGCGTCTCTTGTTTCTGAACTTTGTGGTGCTTTGCCAAGAAAGGCCTTTGGCAGGGTGCCAAAGAAGATAAAGTTTTGTGATAAGCCCGAAGGATTTATTCTGAAAGACTTGTTTTGCTATTAATTTGGACTAAGCTGGGAATGAAGTAATTCTCAGTTGTTACAATAAAATAGGTTTGTTGGGGACTAATTGTGTCTTGTAATGACTAAGTGAGCCTAAGTCACAAAATTCTCTGCTGCAGTGCTACTTGGAAGAAATAATATGGCGATTATACTATTCTGATAAACTAGATTGCATTACTGTGTTGTTGGAAATGGTGCCTCTATTATGAAACGTGTTTGCTGGGACATCAATTGAGTTGGACTGCTTGGAACAGAAGAGAGTGGGGCTCACAGAGAATATTTTGGCCCAGGACACAGTACTAATTTGGGATATTTGAAGGCGATGACTTGTTCGTTTGGACCAACCACCACATTAACATCTTCACTGAAGGTCTTCTCCGTCGTCCAGTTATCAGAAGCCCTGATTACTAAACCCTAATCTACAGGAGACTGAATGACAGTTGCTGGTGGTAGACAGGCAAACGCTGTTACTTTTATTCTGTTTTCTGAATTGTCTAGAAATAGGTCAGTTGTCACTTCTAGGAAAACAGAATTCTGATCTCCCTGAACCTTCTGAATTAATCGAGAAAACACTTTAAGCCGTCATGTTGTTAATGCTTCAGAAGCGCTCAATATTCCTTCATTCCATGAGGCCCTGGATGAAGCTCACAGCTGGAACATCTTTTTTTGGAGGGTGTGTGTGTGTGATAGATGTGGTAGACATGTGTTTCCTTTCTTTTTTGCCTTTGCTTTTATTTTTATTATTATCCAGTGCAACTCCAGAGAATAATTAGGATTGCCATTTTTTTTTGCTGAGTGTAGAAACTGTCTTTTGCTGATACTACTGTCTCTTTTTAAAACAGAAACCTGAGCCACAACAAACTGACCGAGATTGATCCTTCTGCCTTCTCAAAGCTGCCAAAACTACGGGAAGTGTAAGTATTTTCTGCCTAAAGGACTTTTCATCCTGGCCGCTCTCTGTTTTCACTTCCATTCTGGCTAGAATAGCAGTCGGAAAAAGTATACAGTTTCCTAGGACGTGACTCCATTGTTCTTCCAGCTTGCATCAACAGATTGAATCTGAGCTTTTGTTTTTCTTTCATATAGTACCTGGGTGCTGTTTAAAAAATTAACAGTCAATTAGTAGAACACAGTGTCTCAATTAAACTGCAGTGTCTTTATTGGAAATCATTGGTGTTGTCTCTTCTTCCCTGCCTCTATCTGCTACTATATTTCATAATCCCAAGGATAGCCAGGTAATCACACCAAGCTGCATGGATCTGTTTTCCTCTAATAACGACGTAGACTCTGCTGTGACATCTAATGCTAATCTTTTCTGGCTGTCTCAAGAAGAAAAGGCATAATGTTGCTACTATGGAATAATTACCTTCTCCCACTCCCACCGACTGCTCCCTAGCAGAAGAGACAAAGAGCTTCTTCCCATGGCTGGTTAAGAGCTATTCATCCTTGAGTCAGCAGAAAGCTATTCTAGCACAAAATTGGGTGCCCCATTACTCTTGTCTGTCTGTCTGTCTATCTGTCTGTTGGCTAATTTCCCAGCATACACCTTGATAATAGACCGACCAGTTTCAGCATTAGCCTCACCACATAAGGTTACACTACCATGTAACCCAGATGATGAGAATTTATACAATTACTCTGGGCAGCGAATAGTGATTAATTAAAACAAATATATAAAAAGAAGCATTATTAAAATGTTTTAAACCCTACACACAAAATATAAGAGGATGGATGTTAACCATGGAACCAATTCAAGGATTCATCTGTCCCTTGAAAACCCCAGGCCTGGTGGAATCAATTATTAAATAATTATTTAATTATTAATAAATTATTTTACCCTAATATTCCTGTAAGCCGCCTTGAGTCGCCATGTCCGAATAGGCGGCAATATAAATTTCCTAAATAAATGAATAAATGAATAAATGAATAAATGAATAAATAAAAATCTTTAGAGATGTTTTGAAAACATGTGTCTTGCTGTGCAGGCATATACACTATAATAATACAATCTATTATATATTGCTATATAATTAAGTATTTCAAATAGTATTAAATACAAGTTAATTGTATTTCTAACAGGAAGGTAGTCCTCGACCTACAACACAATTGAGTCCAAAATCTGTGTTGCTAAGCAAGTGCAGTTGTTAAGTGAATCATGAGGTTGTCAGTCAAATCTGGTTTCCCCCATTGACTTTGTTGGAAGCTGGCATTGAAAAAGTGACTGGTCCTTGCATTTACGACTGTTACGGTATCCTTATGGTCCCAAGATCGAAATTTGGGTGCTTGCTAACTGGCATGTATTTGTGACAGCTGCACTGTCCTGGAATCATGTGATCACCATTTGTGACCTTCCCAGCCGTCTTCCAACAAATAAAGTCAATGGGGGAAGCCAGATTTGCTTAACAGTCACATGATTCACTTAATAACTCCGGTGATTCAACAAAGAGGTTGTAAAATTGAGCACAACTCACTTAATAACCGCCTTGCTTAGCAGTGGAATGTCTGGTCCCAAGTGTGGTTGGAAGTCAAAGACTACCTGTAGTATATGCAGAAGACTAGGAAATGGTGCTTTACTGATATCGTTTGATAGTTCGCTATATTTCAGGGGTGTCAAACTCAAGGCTGGGAGGCTGGATCCAGTGCACAGGGTGTTTAGATCTGGCCTGCCGGTTGCCCTGGAAACAGCAAAGGACTGTCCTGCGGTGCCTCAGCCAGCAAAAACGAAGCTCTGGAGGGCCCTCCTGAGCTCCATTTTTGCTGGCAGAGGGTTGCAGGAGGCTGTTGCAGCCGAAAACGGAGCTCGGGAGCCCGTTTTCACTAGTAGAGAGCTCAGGCCACCACAGGCACCCCCAACACGCGATACATTGACCTGGCCATGCCCTCCCTGGACCCCCAAAGTCAAACACAACCCTGATGCGGCCCTCAATGAAATCGAGTTTGAGACCCCTGCTATAGTTGAGATGAATTGGATACCTCCTTTTTTGCAACTGCATACAGTACTCTTCACTACTATACTATTACCTTCAGATATCAATGAAACGTTCTATTTCTTGTGAAGTGGCTTTGCTGCTGCGGCTTCACAGTGAAGAATGCAAGCAACTGATTAAAAAAAATGATTAAAACCCCCCCAACATGATGGCCACAATGTTCTTTTAATGTGCATTGGTCAAAGCTTCACTTGCACCATTGTGAAAGCTATTTTGACTTTTTTTGACTACACTCTGTGGAGACCCCTGAATCAGAGGTGGGTTTCAGCAGGTTCTGACCAGTTCTGGAGAACCAGTAGCGGAAATTTTGAGTCGTTCGGAGAACCAGTACTAAAAGTTCTGACTGGCCCCGCCCCCATTTATTTTCCAAGTCCCAGCTGATCAGAAGGAAATGGGGATTTTGCAGTAACCTTTCCCTGGAGTGGGGTGGGAATGGAGATTTTACAGTATCCTTCCCCTGGAGTGGGGTGGGAATGGAGATTATACAGTATCCTTCCCCTGGAGTGGGGAGGGAATGGAGATTTTACAGTATCCTTTCCCTGCCGGGCCCACCATGCCACACCCACCAAGCCACACCCACAGAACTGGTAGTAAAAATTTTTGAAACCCACCACTGCCCTGAATGCGAAGTCAATACTTTGCACATGAATTGGTGATGGGGCACAAGGAAGGCAGGGCAGTTCACAATGTGTTACATAAGAGCAGCAGAACTATTTGGAATCAGATCATAGTCCCTAAGTAATCTAGCATGCTATTCCCACAGTGGCTAACCAGATGTTTCCTGTTTTGTACCTACCATGAATCTGCCTAGGATTGCAATGAGATCTACATGGGATTAATCCGTTCAATTAATAACTAAAATGAAATCAGTGATTCTGCTTGAAGGCCACAAGAAAATCCAAAGTACAGAATCCCACCCCACCCATTGGAGATCATACACCATTGGACCACTTTATGTTGTGTGAAGCTTGTCTTTTGTCTGAATATTCCCCTCTCCACTCTTTTTTTATAGCTTGCTTAATTAAATGACATTTTCCCTTTTTTAGAGATTCATTTTTGTAAGCTAAAAATCCATGCAGTTTTTAACCTATCAAGGCTCCTTGAACACCAGACGGAGTGAGAATTTGTGGCTGTCTAGAAGTTGTTGAACTATCCTACCTGGCGGCATAAAGGGTGCTTGAGCACAGCCTTACCACTTGAGCACAATGTCTAATTTCAGAGTTCATAAAACCTTAGGCTTGTTTTAATCATAATCAGGGCATAAAGTTTCCTTTCCCAAACTATTTTTTTTTTTACTGTTTTACCTTAAAAAAAAAGAGTAAAATCTAAGTGCCTTTCAGTGAATCCTCAAGAGAACTGTGCTATTTTTAAGTAGGATCCATTTCAACATGACATTAGCCTGGCAACTAGGTTGTAAATATTTTATACGGAGTGGCACTCCCCCTTCCCCTTACCACACGTAGTATCAGGATCAAAGGGTTGGAAAGAGAGCTTTTTGCTGTAGTTGCTTCAGAGAGTTGTTCAGCCTGTCTTACCTTTGCTTGTTATTTAAGAGAAGCTCCTGACCACATGCCAAAGCTCCTTACCCAACAATATGCCAATATTTTACAGCAAAATAAACTAACAACCAGGAATTTACTGTTTAGATTGCTAGTAAGTTCTAACTTGTCCTGCCAGGTTATACCTGGCAATCAACACCCTATAGAAGCTTCTGTTATTGAATATACCTGAGGTCCTTCCTGTTTGCATTAACAAGCCTTAAGAAGGAATTCGTGAATGAAGCCATTCGTCACCATTGAAAGCCCTACTTATGTTCCAATGTTCATGTGGAGCTCTTCCATAAAAAGATGCCCATTTATATTGTCCACATGCATCTCCTTTTGTGTATGTATCGATAAAGGCCATGGCATTGTCAGGGTTCCAAGTAATAGACCCATAGCAAACAAAACTTCAAGGCAGGTAGATTCCTCAAAGAATAGCTTTATTGGATCTATCATATTGGCACAGATCTGGTGAAAACCGACTCTGAGAGTTCCTGCGGTTTTCACCTAATTAAAAGTTTGTCACTTTCTCAAAACAATCAGTCACATGGTCCAATCACGGCTCAGTCTGGTTGCCTGGTGACATCACTCCTCCTTCCTCTGACCAGGTATGAGAATGTCCTTGGTTCCCAAGAGAAAGTGTTTTATTTTATTTATTATTATTTATTTATTATTGCGATTTATATGCCGCCATTCTCCCAAAGGACTCAGGGCGGCTTACAAAAACAATATCCAATACAAATCACAATAAAATTAAAATCAACAACCCAATTAAAACAGTTTAAAATTATAACTTAACAAATGGCTTAACAAATTCTTTTAATAATTTTAATTGGTTTTGTCTTTTTAAATTTGGGGCCAAACAGAGATATTTTTTTTAATTGTTTTTAATGTTTGTGTTATATGTTTTTATCTGGCTGTACACCGCCCTGAGTCCTCAGGGAGAAGGGCGGTATATAAATTTGAAATAAAATAAAAATAAAAATAAATAACAATGTACACCCATAACGGATCAGTTAAGTTGATGAAAGAGCCACGTCTTCAACTCACGATGGAAGGAAAGGAGGTCGGGGGCTGTCCTGAGCTCGGTGAGCAAATCATTCCAGAGGGTCGGGGCTCCTACAGAAAATGCTCTCCTCCTGGGGGCTATCAGCCAACATTGTTTGGCTGAAGGCACCCTGAGGAGGCCCACTCTGTGAGAGTGCACGGGATGCTGGGAGAACAGCTGGAGATGGTCCTGCAAGTACCCTGGGCCTAAGCCATGAAGGGTTTTATAGGTAAGCACCAGCACCTTTAAACGAATCCAGAATGCCACCGGCAGCCAGTGCAGCTCGCACAGGAGAGGTGTTACATGGGAGTATCGAGAGGCCCTCATAATTACCTGCG